CTCCGAGTGTCGAAAATTAAAATAGCTAATGTAAGCGCAAACACTAGTTAACTCGTGACCAGTCAACAACGTGTTAATATAAAACAAAATTACTTATTTATATAATAAAACAACCGGTGAAAAGAGCATTGTATCCCGGAGCGGATATCCCGGAAGTAAGAGCACTACATCACCCGGCAGCACCTCATCGTTCGATCTCCTCCCCCATCGAACGTCGGCCCGTGCTGGAGACACCCCGTGTAAAATCTGAAGCGATTTTTAATAGGCAATTACTTCTCAGCGTCGAATCGGCGATGACGCCGTTGAACGGCCGACCGAGAAGCGGATTCCGTCGTCCGAGCCCCGGGCCGCCGTTGTCGCAGCCGCAGTCGCAGTCGTCGAGCGAATTCGGGCTGAGCCTCGCCAGAACGGACTCCGGCGGTCGTACCAACACTGATCTGTCGGAGACCTCGACAACCGAGGATTATGTCACTGCCAACACCTCCACCGAGACCGGGACCACAACGGGCACCTCCGCAACGACCAGTTCCTGGTCGAGGCCCCCGCAAACCTCGAGCGCCGCGGCCTCGGCCTCGGCCTCGGCGACAGCCACTGCCGCGGAGGGCAGCTCCTTCGAGAGCGCCAGCTCGATTTACAGCCTAGCTCGCAGCGAGGTGAGTCGCTTTTACTCAGCCAGATCTATTGTAGTTGGAAAGTTGAGGTGGAAAGTTGAGCGGAGTAAGTTATCTGAAGTCGGTGCTTTGCTTCGCAGTCGATTTCTTTCGAATCGTCGTTAGAGCGTTGCCATTTTTTTGCGCCCGAATCGACCGTGCTAGTTTCCGACAAGACGTTCGTTCTTGTTGAACGTACGGTACGTAAATGAAAGTTCTTAATTCCCTCGCTGTTAGCGAAAGAAAATAGTTTTGTACATACAGTTGGTCAAATTTTACGTATTCCATCGTTTAGTGACATCGTGGAATCACAGGTGATTATAGTAATATTTCTTTTCTGATAGAAATTGGTTAGACCAAGAATTCCGAAATTTAACAACGTAAAATATAGCTTCGAATATCCAATGATAGTAGATGAAGGTTAGAGAAAAGATTGATTTGTTTATTGATTTGTTCAGATACATAATATTCATTAGTTACTAATGGACGATAAGTATATATAAGTTAATAAAAAATTACGACTCTCTGTATGACTGTCTGTATGTATTAATCAATGATGTACAGATATAAGAGAAAAGATTTAAGGGGTTTAAACAAATATAGTTCTATTCTCTTAAACCGTCAAACGAAAAATTCGAATCACTCAAAAACACGACTTTTTTAAGTCGTATAATCTTGATCGATCCGGAGTATCTATAGGGTTCTGATAATAAAAAGTTCGAATCACTTGGAACGTGATTCGAAGCTTAAAAATTTGTTAAAGTCTCGGTAAGTCTTGAATCTCGATAAGTTTGGAGTTTCGATAGGTCTCGTGTCTTGAAATTCTCGAAAGTCTTGCACGCCTTGGAAGTCTTGAAAGTCTTGAAAATCTTGATTCTTTTGGATATCTTGAAACTCTCGGGACTTGCTCAAAGGTTACTTTGTTTCATACGAGAAATATCAAAGGAGATTCAGAAGATTGGAGTTGCTAATAACACATTTATAAAATAATTACGTTTATAGTTGTATAACAGATACATTTATTAAATAACAATGTAAATGAGTATATCTATTCTATCAAGACTTCCAAGTATTCGTAACCTCTGAATGTTTAGGGTAATTTAAATTTGAAGATACATATGGAGGCCTTAGAAACTAACCAGTGTATTTAAGTTGCTTTTTAAACAATTTGTACTATATAAATATCCTTTTGTAATTAAGTTGTTTGTTCAGTCGACACAACTATTCAGTCATTAGCAGACTGCGGATTTTTATGCAAATATCTCTAAAAATGCAGAAGCTCGAGAGTAAATTATTTTTAATACCAGATATTATAACTATTATACTTTGAATATTTTATACATTTTTTTCATATTATTCTGTGGAGTTTTACACTTTAAAATTCGCAATCTAGTCATTATAATGTAATTACTACGATATTGTAACTGAAGATTTTCAGAAGGAAAAATATTTCTAATAACAAATGGCTTACACTTGTTAATACACTTACAGGGAATTTTAAAGTGCAAAATTGCAGAGAACACACAAAGATATATATAAATTATACAAAGTATACTGCCTCTCGTGACACTCACAGCGCGTAAAAATTATTCTTTCATAACTGTATCCCTATTTTACAAAACGTGAATCTGCATTCTGTGCGTTCTACAGATTCGAAGTATCTTAGATCCCATCGCTAGTGATTAATATTTAATCATTTTTTTTATATATTATTTTTCTTCATCGAAAGAATTATCCTTCACATTCAATTGCCTGATTCTTCTCCCATTTACATCCGCAAAAAAAAAAACGTACCGACATAAACGACAGCCACAGGAGACTACAGTCGTATAACACTGTACATACTTAGTTCCTTTGGTTGTCAAGTAGTTGCGAAAGAAACCATAAGGCAAAAGTGTTGCAACCGTGCACAATACGAAATTGAAATTCCGCGGTGTGTCGCGTCAGGCGGTCGTTGAAGAGCCATGCAGCCCACCACCGATATTGGAGGAAACGGAAATTCCATTTGGATTGGAGGTACCTCCGTCACCAGCCAGGTCCACCAGCAGCAGTAGTTCGGGCAGCTACGACCTGAAAGATGCGATGACAGATCCGGGTCAGGAACTCGAGCAGCAAACAGCACCGCCGAGCGGACACACCTCAGAAACGGAACTGGATCATGACGTAAGACGATAATTAAGCTAATTCCGATCAGTCTGTCGATCGCGCGTTATCTCCACCATTGGCAAATGTTCATTGTCGTTTGAACGGAGGTACAGTGACACTTTTTACGAAGGGGCAATTTGCACTTGCAAACGTTCGCACGTTGAAACAGCTGATTAGATTGCGGATTTTTATACTTTTCCTCGGGGGGATTTCTATTCGTACAGCTTACACCTGAAAGTGACAAATTTCAATTTTGGTTAGGTGCTATCATTATTACTTGTTCATATTTTGAGATTTATTTGTATATTCGATGACTCGACAATATTGTTATAAATAATTGAAAATAAATTTTTCATGTTTTGTGTTATATGTGAATTATACATATCGTGGAAGAGTGGCAATTTTTGAGCGTATTTTCTTCATTATTTTGTATAAATGTAATTTTCAATAAACATCGAAGTGTACTGAGATTCGTTGAATATGAATTTTGCGTATAAATTTTATACTCTGTTTAAATTTTGTAAAATTCTCAATTTTTGTAATTTTTTTCTTACACTTTATCAAATCATTTGACTCAGAAGACGCAAAAATGTACAAAACACCAAAAAAGAGAAACAAACAAAATTTCATATTACAAACAAATTACATAAAGATCCGCAGTCTAGTAATGAGAATACGAGAATATATACTTAAATCGTAAGTAATAAAAATTTTTCCTATTTCCTATTATCTATAAAATTTTTCCTTCCTTTTTTTTCAAAACGAGTATCAGAGGGTTGTCAGGAATTCCGTAATTCTGAATTTCGTTAATCGGTATCGAATTAGTCTCGCTCCAATTGAGTTATGATTTCTGGAAGATTGAATGTGAATCTTGAGATCGTACTATCTCGATTTTATACAGACTTGGCTTTGTAGATATATCATGGTAATAGTATAATTGATCCTTTAATTTTATCTTTATGCACTGAATATATTTTTTTTTCCTTTTGTAACAGAATAATTAATTATGAATAATTAAATTCAAATATTTCTCTATTATGTAGACCCAGTGTGGACGAGAGATTTGTAGCAAATTCGTTGTTGGGATTTATAAGAACATACAGACTTTTATAAACTAATTCAAACGATGACATGCTTCTTTAGCTTTTCGATGACTTGTAGATTTTTTTAAATACATTTAAAATATTTAAAGAGAAATGAACATGTTTTTTTATGAGTCTCGGCATGATTGTTGCACCATGAACAGAGCTGTATTTATCTAACGTCAGTTACTATGGAAAGGGATTCATTCGAGAAAATAATTTAACTCGCAAGCAATGTTGAGCATTAATATAAAATTTTGAAGCTAATAAATTTTTAATCGAATAATCATTTAAATATAAATTTACAAGTTCAGAGTTTAAATAAACCTTAGAAATTAATTATTAGATCTAATTAAATTAAAAATAATAAAAAGAACTATTATTTACAAATACAATCTTAATTTGTTATTTTTGTTAAGATCAGAAGTGGCAGTACTTTGTAAATAGATACAAAACCAATCGTTTCAATTGTTATCTGTCGGAACCGATCTGTCGATTTCGAAACATTGAAAAGCAACGACAAAAGCAGTCAATTGATCGGATAATACCTACGCAATGGATCAAATAAAATTTCGAACTTGTTTGAAGAAAAGCGATCATGAATCCTGAACTATATACCGAAGGAGACTATTAAAAGAATTATTTGAAACTCAGAGATAGAAATATTATTTAAATCATTGATTATTCAAATAAAAATATTTATTTGTTCTGTATAATTTTAACCATTATTTATTATTCATCACTGATTATTTACTACTTATCATTTGTTACTTATTTAGTTATTTAAACGAAAATTCCTACAACTTTGCTCACTTATTCGACACATTGACCAGGCAGTAAGTTTGCGTCCGTCAAAAGGAACGTAGACATCTAGATATTGACCGTTGCGGCCACGTTTCAAAAGATTTATATGGTACGTAGATTTATATGGAGCACACAACTTTTTAGTAGGGGCAAGTTTGCTTTGTAGTATGTATGTACTACTTGGTCGCGAACGAAACGCTGTCACTCGACGATAAAGCAATACATTGTTTTATATTACAGCTGAATTTGGCCGAGTAGCTTGCTATATACTTTTCAGATGTGAAAGTTAACGCAAAATGCGGCGAATTTTAAACGCAATCTCTCGTACAAATGGCAGGGAAAATTGGAGAGTCGGTGACGAATTTGTTACAAATCCTTTGCGTTGGACATTTTATACGCATATACGCATAACGTACTTTGGTAGTTAGAAAAATAAATCGTTGATTAAAATGATAATTGTTGAACGCAAGCAGGCCCTCAGTGATGAAAATTAGTTTTCAAGAGAAACGTTTCTAAAAATTTGAAAATAAAACAGATTATTTCTTATACGCCTGCTCACGAAAGTGGATATTTGGATATTTGGATATTTATATTACTATTTTGTAACTAGATTCACCATTTCGAAGATTGAAGTCTCCTTTTTTCAGCGACCTCTTAAAACTTATTATACGATTTCTTTTTTTCAGTATTTTCTTGAACGTTGACTATTGAGATTAAACGACAAAAATTAACAAATCCTAATATTAATATTAATGTTCAAGCTTCAATAAAGTAATGAAAAAAAAAACAATCGAATTTTAAATGGTCGTTGCAAGAAGAATACAATTCATGTATGAATCTAATCGCGGAAAAGAAGATTTTATAATGTTTTTATAATTTTTAAAATAGTATCTTCACTTTCTCACCAAAATATAATCTTCGAAAAAAAAAAAAAAAAAAAAAAAAAAAAGTAAAAAGAAACGAACTTACGAATGTTAAAACTGAGACTTTACTGAATCATTACACGATCTTTCTTTACGAAGACAATTTTTCATCGTCATTAGTACGATCATGCTCCTCACTGTGTGTAAAAAATTATACGCGTGAGGTTGGCAAACGTAACGTACATTTCTGCAAACGTGAAGGTGGAACCTCGAGGAATTAAAGCGTGCCCGTTTGGTTATCATTCACTTTCAGGAAGGTCACCGCTCCTCTTCCGGTGGTTACGCCGAGTCTCCGCCGGATCTACGCGGCTGGACCGAGGAAGAACGTCGCAGACGAAGGAAAACCTTCACTCTCGACTTTCTTGGAAGCGCAGCGAGCGGCGAACGCGGCGTAGAGCTGTACGGAGAGAACGTGGAGGTCAGCCCAACGCCAAGTCATCGTCATCGGCCGAGAGGGAAGTCGACAAGCGCCAGAAGCCCGCACAAGAACAACAGAAAGCGCGAGACTGTACAACAGACGGTTCAGGTGCAACAATCGCAACAGCAACAGCTCACCAGAAGCCCTCAGAAGGAGGATTGGCGCGTCGAACAGGCCGAGGATGGTGGTCATGTTCCTACTTCGGACGATTCCAGCTGCAGTCATCACTACCACATGCACCATCATCATCATCATCATATGCATCGCGAGGGCGCTGATGGAAGGCATCGGAGGACGAGGGAGAGTCCAAGGAGGAAGACCACTGGCTACGTTTCTGCTAGGAGAAGAAGCAACGAGGTGAGTGATATTGTTGAAGAATTTTAATCGTAAAGGCTAACTGTCTCTGTATTCTAACATTAACATAAATTATGGCAAAGAAAAT